TTGACCAAACGTCATTGAAAGAGACCTTTCTAGAATCAGTTTTCAACGTAGAATTTGAAAATATTAATGAGAATAAGTAAAAACGTAAAGGGAAAAAGTTGTGAACCATTGTCTGAAAAAGAATAGTTTTTAGCTTCTCTCAAAAAAATTTTGACAAAATACTTCTAATTTTGTTTTCTTACTGTTGTGCCAGTTACGACGTATATCGCATCCTAAAGCGTGATTCTCTTTGTGTGAGAGTTTGAGAAAAGAAAATCATGATTCTTTGCTCTCAACTTTAATAATAGCGCACTCACATTTCGGTCTTTCACGATTTTGCCAGCTTAATTGAGTTGGATCATAATCAATGAATCGTTTTTTGTACACATTCAGTTGTGAAAAATTATATCGATTTTTATGAAATGCATTGTCATCACCGTCAGATTCATTATTTTCACTTTCTAAAAAGGAGATAGGAAAGTCGTACTACGAACGACGTTTTTTATTATAAACAAAAGGAAAACATTACAGCTGTTTGTCAGATTTCGAAAGACAAAAAAAGTCTTTTTTTTGTCAGTTGCTGGGTTATTACCTCTGTAATTAATTCCTGTTGAGTTTCTTTTGTTGGGTGTCTTGGCATCTTTATTCATTTCGCTGTCTATCTCTTCAATTTCCTTGTATGTATCATCGTTCGAGTCTTCGTTAAACACAACTTCTTCACTGTCTTTATTTCTTGTTTCAAAGTTACTTTTGGCTGCTTTACACTTCTGTTTCGTTCCTAAAACATTCAAATTAAAAAGTAAGTGATCTGTGTGCATGCAGACGCACTTCCGGCAAAAAAAACGATAGTAAACCTTTTTCAAATACACATAGGGTGTCTTCTGCTTCGGCAAAACGCTGTATTTTTTTGCCATTGTAGGTTTCTTCTAAGTGCCTCATAAGTGAGAAAAGTCGGAAAGCAAATGTTCCTCGAAGAGGTTAGATAAAAGAATTCTTTCAACAGAGCAAATAATCCACATGGAAAAATTAGACATAGTTTGAAACTAGACCTTTCGCTTTATCCATTCGGAAAATTATTTTGCTCTTTAGACTTCCAAAGTGGGTTAAACCTACGTAAATATTGTTCGGACGAATACTTATTGCTCCAACTGATTTCTTCGATTCTCGTATCCTTAGAGATAAATTTTTGTTTGCAAATTTAAAATTTAAGACGAGAGATTTGAACAACCGAAAAAGCCTTTTTTATACGTTTTTGACAACGCTCTTTCTAACTGAATGGCCATCCCAGTAATCATCCATCACACTTCTTTTTTAACTGGGAAAGTTTAAATTATACACTTGCGAAGAGAATTTACTGAAAAGTAGCGCTTTTCAAAGAATGCTTATAACTCAACCAAAAAATGGATGTGACGTGTTGGTAAAGGAATAAAATTAAAGAAAATACCTTGTTCTAAAAGACTATGTGGCTCAAACTTAATTTTTCGATGTGTGCGAATGCGAACAAAAAACAAATTCTAAAAATGAAATTTTTGAATTTGTTTTTCTAAAGAATTTTTTATTTCAAAACTACGTAACCTTTGAAGAAATGGTCGCAGAATGCTACAACTAGTCTCATTTTGTAAAGAATCCTGTTGTCTATAAACTGCTGATCTTAACTCACTACACATCATTTTATGCAGTTTTTTGCGCTGATTAGAAGCTAGTGCTTTACCTGTCACTTATAGTTATATTTTGCAACTACAGAAAGCATTCAGAATAACGTAAACTCCTGAATTTTCTAAAAGACATACCGCTCGATATTATTGTCAACGAATGTCTAGCACCTGATGATTTATTTGAATCAATATTATCATTTATTTTATCGACGTCAATTGTTTTAATTGGAAGTACTGAATGCTTCTTTGTTTTCGGAAATGATACGAGAACGTAATCCGATTCCTGATACTTACGAGGGAACCTCTCGAGGTGATTAAAAGCTTTTCGACTCAGACTATTTTCATCATGTAGGGAATAGTCTCTAGTGAAAAACCCTAAGTTGGTTTGGGCCCATGCGCCTTTTTGACGGAGATATGAGTTAATTAATGAAAATGCCATTGATAATAATTAATTAATAGCTCACGATCACGATCAGCCAGGAGTCGGAAATTTCCACCACAGTTGAAGATAGATGTTGTCTACTCACTGCGACACTTTTAGGCTTATAAACCAAAGCTTTTGCAAGATATGAATTTTTTATGATTTAGACAGTTTTTAGTGAAAATTCACCATTG